ACACTGGCAATGCTGTATACTACACGGCAAGATGAATTTCATGAGCTGTGATATTCAAACGATGCACTTGCAAGAATTATTGTATGCTACTTTTATTGCGTTTACTTCCAGCACTTTTAATGGGCGAATACTTTATCATCGCCTTCTCCGACTGAAGGTGACTTGGTGACGGTCAATTTAAGTGAAATAGTTGACGATTATTGACTGATAATTGAAATTGTGCAAATAAGTTTTTACCGTTGGAAACGAAAGCAATTAAATCAACTGTAATTTACAGAAAGTTGAAACAAACGAAATAATACCAGGAGAAGATTATACAAGTCCATTGTTAAGTGAGTATATTGGATTGAATTGAATCGTCAACTGAGACACCGAATAAACACATTATCAAACAAAATATGACTCAGTGAAGCTTCTTAGTCGGGTTTTATTAGGCATTGCAACATTCAAACGGTGTGATACTTAAATGACGGAGCTTTTAGCACCAAATAACTCATCGACTGATCGGCGCGCAAAAAGTTCACATTGCCTCTCGAAGCTACCTGTCCAAACCAATATATTGCATTATTTTCGCAGTTGCTTTATTACTAGGGTAAATTAAATAACTAGAAAAGTAAGTCGACTCTAAGAAAAGTTTTTCTAATTTTAAAAGTCTTCTTTCGTTCATTGCATTTCCGTACTTTTTTTGCAGATATTTTCACTCCGACATGCGAGCATCTGCAGAGTAGACATTTCAAATATAAATTCAGAATTCTCGACGTTACAACTATATCGCTTATTTTTTATCGCAATATGAAACTTTTACGAGTCATATTTTATTTCATTGGTACTCTAGCCTCAGCAATTCTTAAATTGACATAAATTGGGAATTATTTTAAAAAAGGGAAAAAATGCAATATTCCGCGTAACGGTAAATTTTATAATCCACGATACAATTAATTTAGCTTCTGCTGCTGTGAAAAGTCGGAACAATGTAAAATATTTGGAATGCTTCTTTCACAAAAATATATACTCAAGCCAAAATCTGTTTAACAGCATCATCATTCAGGTTATATGTATTAATCCTTGCAAGAAGATACGAAATAGTTAATCATGTTATTTCAAAAGATTTAAATATTGATGAGTGACGCAAGCACATCAATATACTCACAGCAATTGCGAATCGACAAAGTCCGAAGCAGCCCATTTCCGACAGGCGTGCCTGTCGTGAAATTCGCGGTCACGCATATGTGAATTCAAAGCCGTCAGTTTCTCCCGAAACTTGAGAAAGAGGTCCAGCAGCGGCAAACAGCAGCCAGTGGGAAATGAGAGAACTCGAGCGATAAGCACGTGTTCCTTCCCTTCGAGCATTATTGACATTCAGTTGACGCGTCCACAGTTTTGTCGACATAGTAGTAAGTCAGGCTCAGGTCAGTCGAACTAGCAGTCGACGATAAATCTTTGATTGTAGAAAAACAAAAGGAAATTAAATAAGATAATGCAACTCATGCATCATCCGTTCTAAGTGTTATAATAAAGAGAGGAGCTGAAACCTGTAAAGAATGCTAAAACAACACGAGCTAGCAGGGGCCAATAATATTTTTTAATTAAAGTCGACCATAAATCCCGGCGAATTGTTCCTCTCTCCAATCGCCAAATCACTAGTTACTCTTGCAGTCGCGTCACGTTTGCGTGAGCGATGTTCAAACAATACGGTTTTTCGCTGTATGTAAAACGAGAGGGAAACGAGGTCGACGTCGAAACCAGTTGCAGACAATTAAAATTTCATTTATTACACCTTTGCGAATGAATAGAACCCTCAATCGCTTTACATCTCCATCAGAGACATTAGCCGACTGAGAGACTCGTGACTACAATTATTTACCGCCGTTGGCACGGCTTAAACGTGCGTTTTTTCTAATCTTATTTTCTCATTAGTGCGGATGGAAACAACGTTGCTTGGTTACCGATGATTGCAGGCAATAGTACTCGCACACGGTATCACGGTAAAACTGGAATTTCAATGGCTAATCGTAATCGCGTTATCGGCGTATTTTTTTTTCATCGTTAGTTGCTGCATAATAACACCTCGGCAAAGTGAAATGTTTCCGCGACGCTGCCGAAATTGCGCCAATTATGCTAATTGAAATGCCGCGGCTATCTGTGTTATATTAGGCAAATAATTCGTAATGGAAAAGCATTCATTTCGCAGACAGATACTCGTGGTCAATATTTGGTATGCATACGTGTGATACTTCGCTATTGAGCCGACAAAAATATTTGTTAGATCGGATATAAGTGCCAATATTTATTCTATTCGTTTCGAGTATTAATCAATTATCACAGCGTTTCTTTCTACCTATATATTATTTTACCTTACGTGTACGCACGAAAAAACATTTTTTCACTGGTAGGATTAATTAATTTTCATCCTAATATTTAAAAAAGCAGAGATTGCTCATGAAAATTTCGTTAATCCGTAAATTGAATATCAGTAAATTCGGATTTATATAGAATCATAGCAATCTGCTCGATAGTATATTGAAAGTTCGTTTGCGCAATCTCAAATTTGCAATACCGCGAGATGTAGGCGAAGGTATAAGATATCCTTCGGTAAATAAATGAGTCAACAGTTGCGATCCTAGAGCAAATTCGATACACTAAATCAACAGGATTGCAAAAAACTAATGTTGTCTTTGGTACACAATCACAAAGAAGGAGAGATTAACTTCCACCCGTCGGGTAAGTGACATCTATATATAGCTTTGTTTAGCAGCAGTGGCAAAAAACACATTTCCTTCAAAGTGTTCGTTTGTTCCAATTAAAAGTCAGCTGCTGGAGAATATTCCCTTTTTATATTTGTTCGCGAGCTTTGATGTAATAAATCTCGGAGAGCGAGCGTCGAGGATAAAGAGAGCAAGCCTGTAGCAAAATCTTCTTTAGGGATACGACGCAAACTATCCAGTTGCTTTTCCAACAAATTTTCAGTGACGGATGACGCGCTGTTATACACGTCCGTCCCTTTTTTAAATGGCTAGTATGATAATTCAACTGTAATCCTCTGCTAAGCTGTTCAAACCTATTCGGCGTCTATTGATACGAAGGAAAAAGAGAACAATCCTCTCTTATCTGCTTGAACGACGTTGAAGCGAATGTAATCTTCTTCAATTTATCGTTTTCGGTTTCGTTTAGTTTGCCCTGGAAAAGGATTACGAGGGATATGTAGGCGTAAGCATTGATGCGGAAGCGGGCGCCAAGTTATACACATCGTATCATTGTCGTCGGCTTTATTTGTCGACTCGCGCATGAAACGCATTTGCATCGATTTGACGCTAAACTGAACAGTAGATGTTATCATACTGTTCTCTCTCTTATGAGCTCAGCGGTAAGTTATGGTTGTGTCTGTGCCAATTCGATTAGCCGGGATGCTCCGGAATTTTCCGATCGCACCTACAACACATGTTTCTTTACAATATACTTTTCCTTTTATTCCAAATGCAAGGTGAAGTGTGTGTTCGCGATAATTGTAAAATTTAAGCAAACGTTAATGAGCAACGTCGAAACATTTCTTACTTACTCGGAAACTTTACTTTTCAAAAGAAAAAAACGCCGATTCGATATTCAATGCCAGAGAGTGGCCGAAAGAAAACTCCATTTCTATACGAAAGTTATCCCCGTGACCGTACGATTTTATCCACGTCAATCGAAATATTTAAAACAAAAAGGAACATTGAATAAAATTGAAGAGCATGGGCAAGCGTAATGCCGTGACGATTAATCGCCAGCAAACCACGGAAATTGGAGATTTGGCGAAATGGCCATAAACGATATAGCAAGAAGCTTACACTGTCCATTTCCAGAGACCGCAAAATAAATTAGCTCCAGCCTCGTTCAATTATTTCAAGCATTACCGCTCTACATCTTGTTCCGAAATTAAGAGCACTCCCAAAGCGCGCATCAAGTAGGTTTGAACGTAGCCGTAGATTCTACCGGCACTGATTCCCGACAACTTTTCATCCGCGTTATCTTAGACTTTGTTTTTTTTTAATTAAAAGTTGGTTCTTGCAAATGAAGCACATCGTCGATTCGTTCGTCGAACGGGGATTAAAATTTCGGTAACGAGTGGCTTTCGAAACTCGCGCAATATGTAGAGAGAGAGAGAGAGAGAGAGAGAACGCGCGCACGAGCTTCAAAGGCTTAAATGGACAAAAGGTCGGAAAAGAGTGAGGAATCCCCTGGATTTCGATTACGTGTGCTTGCACGGTGAACTATTTGAAGGTATTTTCCGATGAGCCTCCACTCGATGTGCAAATCAAGGTACTTTACTAATGCTCTGTTTTTGTACAATGAAATCAGTTGTTTCTGGTCGTTTTGTCGATCTGCAGAAGAGCCGGAAAATTGATTTCAAAGTAGCGCATTTGCAAAAACGATTCGAACGCTATTACTAGAAGAAGTTTCAAAACGGTTTACGGCACTTGTTTGATAACGTTATTATTTTATTTCTTTAGATTTCATGGAAAATTCTAAAAAGATAGATTTCCACGATTTTGAAAAATCCCAGCAATTTAAATACCCGCATATGTCAAAATCTTCTTAACCGAAAACTCGTTACCCGTTCAGGTATTTGCCTTCTCGAAGCACGCGCGAACTTCAAACAGATATCTACAATTGAAATGCAATCTTGTCGATGCCATGAAAACAGTGACTCTTTTGGTAGTGAAATGCATTTATGTGCTCCTATTCAAATTCGCATCTTCGAGGTCTTTCATGGAGTGCGAAAACGTGCCGACGTAATTAACCTGGAATGGCTCAATTGACCGACTGTTTACACGAGACGCACGACTTCAGTTTGCGACTGATCCATTTATTTCTTGATCACCTTTCGCCAAGGTGTTGAAATTCTAATTTTATCGACGTATTCTCCTTCCTAGAAATTTAAATTCGAGAGTATCTCAACGAAGCAAAAGAAAAATTAAATCAGCCGACTGACTCAATTTTCTCTTTCTTTTCTTTTGTCATAGGTGACGGCAACGTCAGCTTCGAGGAGTTTGTCGAGATCGTCAGTAACATCGGTGGCAGTGCAAGCTCATCGTCTCCTACGGACCAGGATCAAGAGGAACAAGAGCTTCGCGATGCTTTCAGGGTAAATTACTTACACTCGCTTACTTTTCTCTCTTTTTTCGCTCGAATTTTGTCGCGTGAAAAAAAAATTCACGAGTTTTCTCTTGATTTCACTAGATTTTCGATTGAAATCTGACATCGCGCTAATCTAAAATATTACAAAAAAATACAGTTTTCAACTCTCTTCTTTGTAAAATACTCATTTTTAAAAATCCAGAATATGCGTTATATAATGTGTTATCATCATTGTAAACTTAACAATATCAGACTAGCTGAAATTGAACATTTTGCACGAAAGCTTAGCTTATAAAGAAATCATCTCTGAAAATAAAAACGACCATCCACAATACTATAAGGCATACCAAACAAATACGCGCAAGTATAAGGCAAATTCTCTCGGACTCTGTTAAGCGAATTAGAGGGGCGAATAGGGCAACGGGGAGAAAAAACAAAGGTGAAGAGCGAGAAGGCAAGGAATCAAATTAAAATTTAAAATATAATTCCCCGTAGAGACGTGTACGCGCGCCTCTTTTTCTTCATTATATATGCAGACCAAACAGTAAAATAAAAAAAAAACATATACAGAAAACTCGTAAGCCGCTCGGGCAGAACAGATTTTCCCGCAGCGAACGCGCGTATGCACCCACACTCTTTTTTTCCTTTCTTTTTTTTTGCGGCGGGCCATTTAGCCGTGAAACTTTGCCAGAAATGAAATCCCAATTCCCCCAATGGAAAACACAAACGAACCCTCTCCTCAAGATTTAGCCAGCTCGCTCGCAACTTTTCAATTTCGAGCGAAGTAAGCACTGGCGCAGAGTTGTTACGTGACATGCTCGCTCCAACGAGAATAAAAGAAGGGCGTGCTTTTCATCGACACTTGCAGCCCTGTTCGGTCCATTCGCGTGCTCTCTAACGAACTCCGCTGTGAGCGGACAAATTTTGGCTTTACTAGAGCCAACACGCCCACAACGTACGCGCGCATTCGCGAGGAGTCGGCAATAGATAGAGCAAGAGAGAGAGAGAGAGAGCGAGCGCGTGCTCTTTTTACGGGGCCATTACTTAGCGCCGAGACTCTTAGGTACAACAATTCAGCTGAGAATTGCATCACTTTCCAGTCGCTTCGCGGATTTACTACCTAGCGGTTTTTTATTTTGGTTGCTCGTCGTCCATACCTTCGGCCATAATATAATTAACGTAATTTTTCTTTTTTAACGTCATTCGCGAATTCATTCGTTTGGACCACTTACAAAATGAATTTCACCTACGTTTTAGGCTTGAGGATGCTTCAATTCTCGAATTTGACAAAACTAATCCGTTATTGCAGAAAAGCGAGATGAGCGCCCTTATCTCGTGTGTTTTATTCCAATTACGGCGAGTCAATTAAACGGACAGGCTCTCATGACAATTGCGAGCGGTTGCTTTCACAAGCTCGATGTCTATCCCGCGAGTTCTACGCGCTGCCTGACTGGCTCTACCCCGAGGAAGACGAGCGATATGATTTAAGCATCTTGTTCGTTTTCTTTCGCTCAACGGCGCGTCACGCACGAGCGAAAACTCATTCCGCCAAAGTGCGTAGCTTTTCTTTTTTTATCTCCATTCGCCTACCGCGACAGTACAACAATGTTTTTCCTTCTGCGCGCACTACTTTACCATGACTGCTAACATTAAAACGTGATATTATTTTACGTTTGTTTCTATCCACGACAGAAATTATACCGATTCTCTTATTCGCTTTATCACGGATAATCCTTCTATGTTGTTCGAGTAAATTTTTATGACAACGGCAACGTCTCTTTTATGTACTTTATTTGGTTTTTAAAATCAGTCACAGTTCCATCAATCTAACGGGAATTCGCATTTCTTTCACAACAAAGCCAATGGATCGACTTGTCGATTTATCCGCGTGTTTTCCTGCCGTAATTAAATGAAATCAATGCCGTTCGTGACCTATAAAGCTAGGTCAAAACCCGTATATTCGACAAAAAAATAATTAATGAGCGCGCGATATATCGAACACCTTTGCCGTCACACTCGCTCGAAAATACAATCAGAAAAAAAAGAGCAGAAAACTCTTTCATCGACCCTTTTCATCATCGCAGGCGCAAGCGAAACCCCCAATTTTTTAACGGATGAGAGCCAAGTGATTCACACGCGGCAGCGTTCATTTTCATTGTCCCACACGCGCGCGAGTATGTACATGCCGCGCGGATCCCGTAGCCTCGAGGTGATTTCCGAAAGTATGCAACGCGTGCTGGCACGGAGAAAAGCGCTCGCCGCGATTTACGCTGCGGGGATTGCAATCTCGAATAATGCGGGTGGCTTAAGTTTTTCCGTGTACGCGGCTCGAGGCTCAACTGACATTCTATTATTGTTTCTAGCGTAGCGTAGCGCGGAGCCTCTTCATTGGCGTACTTGGCTCTAGCTAATGCTTCTGCGTGAATTTAATGTATTCCTGCTCGGAGCTAATTTTCGGCCCTTTTGTCGCGGGTAATCGCACCGAGCAATAAAACGAAGCACTCGCAAATAAATGAAAAACAGATATCTGGATGACTTTTCTCTCTCTCTATCTCTCGTACTCTTTTTTCGACTTGTATGCGAGGGGTAAAGGAGCTCGAGGCCTTGCACAATGCAGCCTAACGACCAGCCTTTCTCTCGCGCATCCATTTTTTCTCCACTTGAGTCGATGCCTCCGGCGCCCTTTTTTATCCCTCTAAAGTCGAAGACGAAGAAAGTCGCCGACTGATTTTTTCCCTCGCGATATAGTCGATTGCTTATTCACTGAAGGCTAAAAAGAGCCGATCGCTCGATCGCACACGGCCACGGGCATCTTAATGGGACGCAAAAATTTTTTAGCCAGTTGGAAAAACACGTCAACGTTCTACCCGCGCTCTTCGAATTTCAAGAAGGAAAACGAAGCTCGAATCGTGCCACTCTACGACGGAAATTCAACTTTTATCGAAGGGAATTCAGTCCTTCGGTGCGAAAATATTTCCTCGAGAAAAGTCTGCTCGACTGTTGCGCGCACGCTACAAGCGCTCTTTCGCGCGTGTAAAATGCTGGTAAATTGAGCTTGTAAGGTTCGACTCAAATGATGCAACAATTAATTTTCGACTGGTATATTTTACCTGGAATATATGAAATATAAATTTAATTCATTTCAGTTCAGCTGCCGTATGGATGGTATAATCATTTGACAGCGACACTTCAGCCAATAAAACTAAACACAATCCTCTAATTATAGGCTCGCGAAGCATAAAATCAATATTCATGGCCTGGTTAACATGCACACACCGACTTTGATACTGAAGAGACCGAGAGAAAAAGTTGCGTAGGCGGCACAGCAACTGAGTAAAAGGGGCAATCAACTGTACACAGCGTGGCAGTAGAAGGCACAACAGAAAAAAAACTGAAAATAAAATAAAATACATCCAAAGAATAAACCTAAATCAATAAAAGCCTCCAAGTTTGGGCGAAAAATCGACTTGAACGAGGCGAGAACGTTAGCACGTTTTCCTTTCAAGAGTAAAAAGAAATGGAAGAAGCTGCGAACGAAGAAGAATGAGCCCTTCGACGCGGTAAAGAGTTTAGCGAGCAGAGACCGTAACAGCTTATCGTATATGCTTTTCTTCTTGTAACCAGTCGATATTTTTATCTGGACGTATGAGTAGTGCGCGAGGAGAAAAATCCAGCCAGAAAAAAGTCCGTATAACGCGACGTATTAAAAGACGAACGCGTGAATAAATGCGTAGGTTGATAAGTTAATAGACGTGTGACACTCGGGAGAGTGCTTGCGCTGTTGAAAAAGAAATTGACGAACGGAGTCGTCAACAATTTTTTTTACTTTGTTTCCTGCTATGTTAGATAGATTGATTAGAGAAAACAAAACATTGGTTTTCGGATGTGAAGTAGCTATTAGGTGGTTTAAATGAGGAAGAATGGAATCATTAAAAAATCACGCGTTTTAATTCATAGATAAAAAACCGCTAGTTTCAAATTCTCATGAGTATTTTCAAAAGTGTTTCAATTTGCACTGGGCTTTATAATATTTGAATCTCAGGTGAAATAAATCCTAATAAGTATTTTTTATAATGTAAAATTTTGAAATTTATTAAATATTAGCCTTATTTATTCATAAAAAAATATTAAAGCTTAACGTTGTTGCCAAGCTTAAAATTCTATATGCCGAAAATTATTGGAATTTCATCTTACCGTTTCCACGGTAATTTTTGTCTATTTATGACATGGAAAAACATTTATTGATAGTTTCTGCCTAACACTTAAATGATCTCTAACTAACTTTATTGAACATTTAAGTGTAAATTGAAAGTTATCAGTCGAACTATGATAAATATTTAATGAAATTTTAAATAATAAACCAGTTTAACAATCACGTGAAACGCAAAATCCTTGATTTTCTCAAGAGGGAAGGGGAGCGCTTCTAGAGCACACTGTGGAGGAAAGTGTCCAAGTATTTGCGGTATTACAACGGCACGTACTAGACAAAGGGACGCAAACTAGGAGGAGAGGAGAAGTCACACGGAAAAGGGCCGCTTTTGCGGATGAAAAAAAATTAAGGGAGCTATTAGAGCGCTGCGGAAAAATAAAAGGAACGAGGGCGGCGGGAGAATGGAAAACGCGGAGAAAAGAAAAAGAAAGTGCTCGGAAATCAGTCAACTTCACCATTCTCCTTTTTTTTCTTCCTCATTTCTAACCTTTATCTTTTTTTTTTGCACAATCTCCAAGTAACACAGTAATGTATTTGTGTATAATCGATTTTGATGTATTCCAGGAGCAATCGAGAAACTATTCGGCAGAGCATATCGATATGAAAGTTAGTTAGTTGTACGTGTGATACTGATTTCGGTATTCACATCACGTGCCAAGTTCGCTGATGCGCCAACTCTATAATTGCAGTTTACTTTAATTACTCACGCTAAACCTATCTGGTACGCGTGTACGTGTGGCTTAACATGGAGCGTATCACTGCCGCCTTCCAATGACTCTCGTCAGCTTTTCACTGCATCGACGATTTTGTTTACGATCGCTTCGTGTTTTTATGTGCTTGCGTCATTAGTGATACCAGTCTCGTCCAATTGTTTGGGATTTCAGCTGGTTTTTAAATTGATTTGGGGATGCGTGAGATTTCGTCGATTGTTATCAGATATGGTTGTATTTTCTCTTCATACCAAATTTTAGATTTCAACGTTCGTGATTATTAATTTCTTTTTTTTTTCGACGATTATAGATGTCAATAAAATTTTCAGTTTTTTTTTGTTGGAAAGGAAATTATATCATTGTTTTAAGCTTGCGTTTACGCAGTAATATGATAATATTTATGAAGATCGATATTACAATATGAATTTCTACGTTTTTATAACTTTCATTCGTAAAATTCTATTTAATTAAAGACAAAGGAAGTCAGAAACACAATCATGAATTTTTGCAGTGAATATTTTGCGTAATTTTTTCATATTTTTTACTTTTACGCTTTTAATTTAAATTACAATTTTTTTATGTGAGGCTCATGATAGATTTTATAACGAAATTGACGGTATTCGGATGAAAAAAATTAGTTCTTTGACGCCTATAGTTTTTAAAGTAAAAACAGACAACTTTCAAAACAACTTTCAAATTATCAATAAATTATGTAGCGCAATATACAAGAATGATAATAAAAACATAGCATTATTTTAAAACTGAAGTTCAATTTTCGGGTAAATTTGTATTAGCGTAATGAAACTTCACATTTTTCCAGTGGCAGAATTTTTATTTAAATACGAAGTTCACGACTGAAAAATAATAAAAAAGATAAGAATATTTTATCATTCATACTCGAAGTATATAAATGTTGTAATTTCAAACTGATTACTTAAGAAATCTTTTGTTCATTTTTAGTCTTCGATTAGTTTTTCAAATCATGGTAAAGTTACAAGTAGTTAAAAATCATAAATTCACTTTTTTCTTACAAACGGATCATTTTAAGGAAATGATCAATCATTACTATTAAAAATACTGCCAATCCATTGGCTTTCATTCAAAGAAATGCTGATTTTAATTGAGTGAACTTTGTTAAACAGAAAACGTATATTATAATTTTATGGTTTATTAGCTCGGCAACTCGTCGAGCCAATAAGCGAAGTATACGGTGTTAAAAAGCTCGTCCATTGCTAACACGAGTCTGAACCGCAGAGCATCAAATTATCGGCGCTCATTTGTCATCGTCGCAAAAAGGGTCCGCGTGCGTACGCACACGCGCACACGTACGTACATACACAATCGAAATTCCAATTTGAAAACGACGCCCGATGACGTGGCGACCGCAAGCCGCGATTGGTTTCCTGCCACGTTGACACACACACACACACACACTGCAATTATCGAAATAATGGAACGGGGGCGGGAGATGAGCGCGTTGCCGGCGATTGCGCGGTCAATTTTTCGGCCTACTTATCCTTTCTCTTGATTCGGGAAATAGCCATTCCGCGAGGAAACAAATCTCTCCTCTCTCTACGATAGCGGATATGCGATTTTTCAGCTTTCCATTTCCGGGATAAAGAAGGGGCGAGGGGGAAGATGTCGATCGTCAGCGGCTCGATGGAATTTTTTCTCGCAGCGACGATATCCCGTAAGGACATTACTTTAGCAAGCCACTTGGAAACTTCTAATTTGCAACGGGAAACTCGGAGAGATTCGGACGAGTGTTTACAAATTGCTCGTGAAGAAGACTAATCTGGCCCCCTCACTCGATCTGTCTCTCGCGAGAGAGGCAAAGCCTTAATCGTAGCTCGATCAGAATAATTAAGGAGGATGTTCACCCCCCCCCCCCCTCCGGGCATATTATCAGGTAATTGCTCGGCAAGATAAACCCGCGAGCGCTCCACTCTCATATACGTGCACTAGCTAGGACATGTAGCGCCTACCTGAAATATATAAGCCGTCTTATGTGCCTATCTATACTATCTCACGCTGCGCCACTTTCGTATTCGCTTAATTCTCTAATTACATTTTAAATTCCGATCTCCCGCGACGACGTAATTTATCGAAATAACTAGCGGGAAGGTTAAAGTTTAATTTCACCGAGAAGAAAGCTTCGAATCTAGATTACTTGGTTCTGCACTTCTATCGAAGTCAAAGCTCGCGAAGCATCTATATTCTTATCGCGCGCAAGACATAATCGCATTGGCGCAGCGGGAACTAATCATCCTAAGTCAACGCTCAAAGTTGCATATCGAGTAAGAAGAAGCCAGTGGTTTTGCGCTAAGCAATCACGCATGCGACAAAAGCGAGCTAGGGAGCAGAAGAGCTTCTCGTCTCTCATAGAAGTTATCGAAAGAAGCCAGCGCTCGAAGCTCCCATCCAGCGAAACGTCCGGAAAGCGTTCACGGGTCCGTGAAATTGGCGACCGCGCAGCAGGGTACGTCGAGGAGTCCAAGCAAACCGCACGACCGGTCATCAATCCTCTATCTCTATCTCGCCGATCGGTATTGTCCTATCCGTGCGCGCACTTGCACTCCCAAGGCCAATTCGTTCCGTGTGTGCGTAAAAAGCGCTGCTCTCTCTAATAATCACCCGAAACTCCGTCAATGCAAACGCGGTTGCTCTCGCCTCGACTGCGAATTTTGACCCGCTTTGTTTTCGGCCAGTTGTGTCCTCTGGATTTCTGTCATTTTTTTCTTTTTTCTTTGTTCTCCTTCGCCGCGACGTGTTCTTCTTTCTCTATTTGAAACAAAATAAAGAAAACAAAACAAGTCGCCAAAGGCAGATTGATAGTTATAAGATTTAGATTTCTCAGATTTCCATGGTTTTGCGGCTATTAATTTTCATTTTGAAAGATTTCCTCGGCAAAATAAAATCCATTGAAACGCGAAATATCGAGCGTTATCGTGAATCACGTTATAATTCGTATTATTTAGATAATAAAGATGTGAATTTAACTATACAGAATGGTTGTTACGCTGTTCAAGTATTATACCTAGTCATTGATATTCAACAAGTTGCATTGATTTAATTTCATGAATAGCTTGTGTGCGTGGCTTCGTATTATGAATCTAAATGAAATATCAACATTGACACCATCGTAACATTAGAAAAAAACCAGGAAACATTTTGTTTTCTCGATGGGGCGATGATCATTTTTATACAAGTTGGATCTCAGCTTCTAATTGCTGTATACGGTAAAACAAGCAAGCAACAAGAGTAATCTTATAAAAAATTTCTGCAACGTTTCTGCAACAAGATTTCTTGCGAATCGTCATTCTTAAGCTCTTTAGACACGACTTGCGCAATGAGTAAACAGCTCAATCCTGCCGGCAGTATCGGTATTTGACTTGACGATAGACGATTAAACGAGGTTGCACTGTTCGGTTTCAGGTCTTCGACAAGCACAATCGTGGCTACATCACTGCTTCGGACTTGCGAGCAGTGCTGCAGTGTCTCGGCGAGGACCTCTCCGAGGAAGAGAGTAAGTATGCAAAAAGGTGTGCGCGGCGCAATTGAGGACTGCTGCGAATTGCACGCCACGGAGGCGAGACTTAAATTTTTGCCACCGCGCTGTTGCGCCGAGCAAACCCTCACGGTAACTTTGAGCATAACGCTCTCGCGCGGCCTCTTTCTCTTCCTTCATTTTTTTCCTTTCTTGGCTTCCCTTTTAACGACACGCTCTCCTCTTCTTTTTCTCGTCGCGCCAGACTAAAGCGCGCTGGTGTTCCATTATGTTTATCAGAATTATTGGATTAACTAGTTTCAGGAAGCCCTTTTGCTTGGCAGCTCGTTAAAAAGTAAACGCTGATCGTTATATTTCTCGAAAGCGCTTGTTAGCTACTTCCCCGCTTTTGTTGTCGGGCATTAACGTAATTTCAGCTCGTTAGCTGCTAACGAACAAATAAAAGCATCATTTTATGGATAAACAGGCTGCGCGTTAAAGCCGCTTGATAAAGGCATTTCCCATACGTCGGCATCGACGGCTGAGCTTTTGACGCAACGAATGAAGAGTCGCGGTAAGAGGAGGAGTAAAGTCGATCGGCTCTCGAGGAGTTTGGTCAGGAAATGGTACTTAACTGAAGAGCCCCCCGCGGGTAAAGTCCGCCGTGAATAAATTCGACGACGACGGCGACGACGCGACAGCTTTCTGCGAGACTTTTCAGCTACGGTTACGCTGCGAAAATTGCCGCGACCGACCGCGTTCCAATCGCTTTGCTGATATATATTTTTACTCGGATGGTGTGATAAGGCGGAGCGCTATCTCGATAACGACACTTTGAAATTACTCTCAGCGACTGACAGTTTCGTTTCTTTTCTTCCTTATACAGTCGATCGACGATTCATTCAATATCGAATGGACTTTTATGGTAAATAGACCAAAAGGAAAACTTATTTTCGGAGAAACCAGTTTTGACCTGAGACAAGTTAAAATACATCCGAATATTTAGTCAAATTTATTCCACTTTCTTCGTCACTATTGTTTTTAAGAAAATAAACTTACAATTTTAATAAAAGGCCTTCGTTGCCTTTCCAAGTCATCTATTCAGACGATTTCTTTTCAAAATATTTTCGAGCGGGGTTTGACGATATGTTTTGGAAACGGTGCGCTAAATGAAAAAATTCATATTCCAGTAACAATCCCGCAGTTTCGTTATATATTTCTAGTGGATGAAAAATGTCTGAGTAAAAAAAAAGTAGTAAAAAAATACTACTCGCTAGAAACTTTTTCGCTCACAATAAATGTACGCTTACTTTTTTGGTGGCTGAAACAAAGTGCGATTGGAAATCCAATGAGTTTCACGGAGGCCAGCATCAAAGTTTTCGTCGCAGTATTGATCACCAATATGCGAACGTTTGACTAAAATGAACCGATACTCGCTTACCGAGGGAATGAAAAAATTTCTCAATGCACCGATGGCGAAAGAATGTTCCGAACGCTAGTGCTAAAATAAAAGAAGCGGTCTTGACAGTTAATCCTCTTTGCAACAAAAACTACTTTAACTTCGTTGCCTTTACTTCGGAAGTTAGTCCACTTGGATGTCGTTAACATTTTTTCGGTGCTAATCCTACTTGTGCGGGCAAAACCGTTGACTTGTAAATCTCCAAGTTCGCGCCGCTTTCTCATTATTGCAGAAAAAACAGAAGGCGGCAAGGAAGAAGTCAGGTCGTATCTTGAGGATGCCCCGTACGTAAAGATCATTTCTCTTCTTAGCGAGTGCGATAAATTCCAACGCGAAATAATTGAAGACGAGCGGCGCGTTAGTCTCCTCGTTCGCGTACACATCTCGCGCGATACGAATTAGAGCAAATTTAGGTCGACGCGCGCGGCAAATTGATTTTTTCTCTCTCCCTCTCTCTTCTTCGGCGCGAGAGCTACGAAAAACAAGAAGTAAGCTCGAACTTTGCAACAGTCGTAAAGGCTCATTTATAAATTATGCGGTGCTATTTTTCAGAATTTCAACGTTTTCGTTTTATCTCAATTCGGAGAAATACATTTCTCTTGCGTATCTCCGTCTAGCTTGCAGAATGTCTTGCACGCTCTCATTGCTTACGGATACATCCGATGAAAAAATTCTGTTTCTCTGTATTTAGTTGCATTACTTAAAAATAGAAGTGATCTGCATTCAGAATGATTAAAAAAGCACATGTGGATAACAAGCTTAATAAAGTATCTCAATAAGGCTTTATACACACAAGAAAATTTCGTGTCTATAAAGCCATAGTGCCAAGAGAATCAACTCATGCATTTATTTATCTATTTTGCGCAAAACTTAATCTGATCGTACGTATATGTGTCTGTTGCAGTCGAGGACATGATCAAGGAGGTGGACGTCGACGGCGACGGTCGAATCGATTTCTATGGTAAGAGAGAAAAAAATCCCACTTGCTGCCGGTGCTAGCGAGCAAGAATGATTTTCACGTAGCCGGCTGTCAACGGCAATGTGCCCCGGCTTTACGCTTTGATCTGGAAAAGAAATGAATTCACGTCGCTGTATCAAGCTCGGCGAAACGAATTTTTTTCCTGCGCTATCTCGTCTCAAGAACATTTTTCGATTTGGCTGCAGAGAAAAGCTTCTTTTCTCGACAATGATTTTTAGTTTTTCAGTTACTAGTTTATACCTCGAAATCCGAATCTGACGCAAATCTCGTACGAGAAAACTTTTCATCTGATCAAATTTTAATGACGTTTATCTTTTACGCCGACTATTAATCTTTGCAATGCAATTCACAGCTCTTGACTGATTTTCTTTGTGCGGATCACCTGATGCATTAAATTCTCAGATTATTTTTTCTTATTTGCTTCATATTATTTACAATCTGTCAAATTTTATTCATGTATGAAATGTATACATAAAATTCAGCAAAATACTCCAGTGAATATTTTGTCTTTGTTTTAGAGTGTGCATGTAATAAATAGATTAGGATTTTTTATGCATTCATTAGTTGATATTTTTAAAGTCTGGTATTTGTATTGGTTGTCTTGAGAAGTTTGCTCAGAAGTTTATTTTGGATTTTTTGAAGTCTGATATTTATATTTTGGGTAATACTTTTTAATTTTTTCTTTAACTATTGGAACCTACAGATCGTTCTAAATAATTTCGATTAGGACGAACCATGGGATCCGTACCATATTACGAAGAACTTTCGATTGATAACTTTCCAAAATTTCGGGGAAAAATATTTGCACTGTTGCATATCAAATTCTGTAAGATCTTGTATAAAAAAAAAGATTTGACCTTCGTAAATATAGCCAGCTTCGTATAAGAACACTCGTCTTTCCAAAAAGAAAGAGCAAAGTCGACAAAGAGAATCGGGAGATTTGTTCGTATCGTTCGCGAACAATTAACCGATAGAATAATCCGGCCACTGTTCGGCATGAACGGAAGGTGAGCTATTTTTTGCGATCGCTCAAGTAAAAGGAAAAGGAGTGGGCGAAGATGATCGCGCAGGTCCGTTGGGAGAATTCGGTACTGCTCGGGGGCTGACAGTAGATATTTTGACAGCTTATTATTTATACCGGGGGGAAATACATCGTCTCGCGCGTTAGGTATTCAGTAAAGTCTTCTCTTTTTTTCTGTTCCTCGAGACGTCTCATTTTCGCGAAGCATCTTTTGTTACCGAGAGCGACTGAGCAGAAGAATTTGGGAAGTTCTATGCTGGAGGGCAAAAAAGAGATCCTATATTTTGAAGTCGTCTGAAGCAGGAGTAGCAGCTAGTTTCTAACGTAAAAGCACATGCTGCTACGCGGTGGCTGGCTATTGTTTTGTTAAGACATAATGGCTATGAAAGTTCTTGCGAATTATTGCAAAACTTATTAGAACGTCTCTCCGTTGTCGTGCAGAATTAGACGTATAATAAAATAGCCGCGAACTACACACATAGCCGTGGATAATAAATGAGCGTCTCGACAGTGCGAATTTTCATACTTCTGAAAGGTCTACAGCTGCCGCGAAAAGGAGATCTTTTATATCGAAGCTAATTATTCAGAAAAATAACTTTTCTTAAGAAAATACGCTCGAGAAGTTGTAGCTAGCAGCGCAAGTCGACGGAACTTTTGTTTAAACTCAAACTTTTCTAAATCTCTAATTAGGAAATACTTTGCTACAAGTTTTTTTAATAATACGGTTACGTATATAGTAGCTTCGGATCAATCTGTTTATTCTACTTTAGTGCGCCGATAGAATTACTTTTCCAGATGTAATCCAATGTTTTTATTAAATTGCTCGTTTCATTTGTGCTACAAAATATAACGTTGAAAAATGCGCTCCCGCAATTTATTATTACAGAGTTCGTTCGAGCGTTGGGTGAGCCAGGAGTTGACGACGACGACGACGACGACGACGACGACGATGACGAAGACGAAGAGGATGAAGGCACAGAAGACACTCGTTCGCCAACATCGCCTGCGCCTGCCACCGCGTCAGCGAGTCGTGCCGGTGATTCGGAATAATGAGACAGAACGAGGAAATAAAAAAATGGAAGTGCATTTATCGACCTTGCCGCGTAAAAAATTCCGATTGACTACGTCAGTGATCATCGCATTCGTCAGTGATCGATCGATTACCAAGACATATCTGCAAAAACCGGTTCGCGCCTGCGGAGCAATCACTCGACATCCCATATTGACAGTTGTGCGCTCTATTATGAAAACGACCGTTACGTCTTCTCTCTCGTATTCTTTATCTTTCTATTTCTCTCTCCCCTCCCCCCTCCCTCTCTCCTTCTCGTTTGATTTTACGAATGAATTTCAACATCGCAAGCTTTCTTTTTACTCTCGTTGTTATATGACTCGAGCAGGATTTAAACTTACTTAAAAAAAGTTTGCATTCGTATGCGGACTTTCTCTGTGAGAGAGTCGCTTCGATTATACATAAAATTACATATGCTTAAAAAACATACAAATAAGTTATAAGATATATCATCGTTAACTATACTGTATCATTATACGCAAATCATACTTTAATCGCACTTTAATTGCACAACAACATGCAATGATTAAAGTTATCTATTATTAATAGCAACAAAAACTCAACGTTTTTCTGAAATTTTTCGTAAAAAGACTTTTCGACTAGCATGTTTTGCGCATTTTTAAGAATAAACAAAACGTAATCAATGTGAAAAGGGACATGCTAGGAAAATGATCATTCGCATTAAAAATTATAATAAACAAACAAAAAAACAGTAGTAAAGTTGCAAATACTATATTGTAATATTTTCATCGTTTGAAAAAATATAAAATTTAATGGCAAAACTTCAAGGTGATAAAAAATTTACTTAAGCACATCTTTGAATAGTTATACCGATAGATAGATTATTAAAAGAAAAAGTATGCGTGTCTAATCGATTCACTCAAACCAAAAACGGACTCGATCTTCACTGATTTTGTTGCACAAGGGCTTTTTTACGACGATACGCAGCTAATAAGCATACATTAAGAAAGCTCGGGGACTTTCATCAATTGCGACATTATAACGAGCGATTCTACCGATTATTATCGTACATATATTAACTCATAATAATGTGAGTGATTTTGCTCGTTATCTCAACCTTTACGGTTGCTCGAATTTTATCGTACTGGACTTGCTGTATTTGTCTTCGTGTAATATTCTAGTCACACGATTACAACAATCAATTACACCATTGATTCTTTTCCGATTCTATTTCCGTACCTACACGCGTACGATTATAAATATATATCTATTTTAAGATTCCAATAAATCATTAATAAATTGTAAATCTGCAAAAGAAAAATGCTATGCCTTTTATTTACAATTCTATCTATTTTTTGTTAAATATGTGAATGGAGTTGTAACGAAATGAAAAACATCCCATTTTTTTTATTAAGACCGTTTTTATTAGCGATAAATAAACTTACATATCTATACAATAACAATTTAGTACTCTCATAACTCTCAGAAAATATAAGATCTATCCATAGTAATTCGTGAATGATTTTCTTGTAGAATTTATCTGACACAACTTTTGACGGACTCACTACGCAGCGACAATCCAACGAAGCGGAACTTAAAAGCGTTTTTCATGATCACAATTCGATTTCCTTATCAAATTTATATCCTAAATATATATAATTATTATCGATTTACAAATAACAATATACAGGTCCTAATTGTCTTAATTACTCGAAGGCTTAGTCTTTGTTTTTCGAGTGTTCCTTTACTTCGTTCGACCGCCAAACGCACGAGTCGCGTGAAAAATACATTCGCATTTCTCTCTCTCTCTCTCTCACACACACACATACGCACACACGCGAGCACACTCCCTCTCTCTTTCTGTCATCTACATTTTGGATTAAAATTAATTTTTTGATTTTTTTTGTACACGCACATATATATGGTTTATATGTTTAATATAAAAAAAGTCGCGTGGCCCATTTGGAAAGCAGGTAAGTGGAACAACGTTTATACAGTTATATAAATTACTAGTATGCGCATCTATTATATTTCATTTGAAAATGAAATCATGTTTTCCTTTTGCTTTTTTCATAAGTCTACAATAAAATATTTGGAAGAAAATTCGTTGTTAACATGCACAGGATTATGTTGATACATCTACACAATCATGCTTGGTCATTTATGTAATCTTTCGTTTATTTTTATCGTCAGTTCTTCATTGATGTTTTGTATTATATCGATAAAATGCTATATTTTATGCTTCTACGAAATTTTCTCCAGCATAAGACACAATAAATCTTATCAAGTAACAGCGAAAAAGATAAAATATCGTATAAATATTAAAGTAAATGTATAAAAATTAAAAAAAAAGAAAAGAAAAACATGACGAATGACATTGAAACTCTATATCAGTAAATATAGGGGAGTATAATTAGTACATTTTCTTTATATATGTATACTTTTAAAATATCACTTATAAACTACATGTACATCCGCACGAGCTCATCATACTCTCGCGCATACGCACATTCGCACTAGCAGAAGAAAAGAAAAAAATGGAAAAGGTAAACACATGATTACACGCAATGTTTTGAAAGCAATGAACAACGTGAAAGAGATGTATCGAATGATTTTGCGCGAGGCTCTTTTCAGCCAAGACTTTATCCACAGCCGCATGTAACCGAGCGCGTGCGTTTGCAGCGCAACTTGTCAAATGGGGGGAGAAAGAAGCGCGATTATGCAATCATGCTTGCAAAGCATCGGTTATTTACATCGAAAATCAGTGTACGCGCTCGATGCCTCGAATACTGTTTATCTTAGCAACCATCGAGCGATGAACTTACTTAAATTATTTGTATTTACAGACGCGCCACGACGATTATTCGCCGTTTTTGCAACGTATCGGCGTTTTGCCTCACCTCAAACGAGAAACGATCGAGAAAAGAAAATAATCAAGCCTTTGCAAAGGCCGTTTTAATGGTTGCACTCTTGACAGCGAAAGGTTCTTTTTCTTGTGCAAAGCTCGCATCACGCAAACCGTATAAGAAGCTACAGAATAGCATCGAAGGAGAATCATGACGATACGGAAAACTGCCAGGTAACGTGTCCTCGCAAGAGAGAGTACCGCGTCACTTTGAGAAAACGAACAAGGGCTGGGCGGGGGGTCCTTGGTAAAAACACGCATAGAAAAAGTACAAAAAAGCGAATGAAAAATGTACAATGAAATAGAAAAAGAGGGCAGGTGAAAGACAATTGTTTAATCGTCACGCTTTACGCGAGAGCTTAATCCAAAAACTCGTCCCGCCGTCTCAGGGCAAAGAAACTTCGCCGCTGATTGGCGCGAGGACTACTTCACGTGACCACTGGCTCTTCGTCTGTTTCGTCGCTGTTTTCATCGCCGTGATGATGGTGATGATGATTCGGTGTGCTCGGTAGAGCACCGAACGAATTTGTACGAGGACGACGATGTGGCTGCAACTGACGCTTTGGTTGCTCGTTTTCGAGGTTTGTTTGTGCGGATATCAAAGGACGAAGGGCTGAACGAAGTGACCAGTAGACACGAGGGTACGTTGTCTCCTGTCGGTTCATTAGATCCTCGTTCTTTTTCTGAAAGTACAAAAAGTTTGCTTGTAAAGATTCCAAAAATCATTTTGTATTGATTAAAAAAGTTTCGACGAAAATTGCTCAGTTCAAGATGTATGCAATAAAAACAAATGTACCGAAAGGAAGTGCCTTTGTTCTAGAAAAGTTTTGGCTGAGTAGTCTAATCCAAATTTTAAGAAGAGAAAGTAACTCCAACTTTCGCTATAAAACGAACGATAACATACCTGAATTGCATCTTCCGAAGCAGCAGGCACATCACCAAACATAGGAAGCTTTTTGCTCTCGATGAACTGCTTGAGTGCTTTTTCTCTGACATACACAAATGGCCTTATAACTCGAAGAGCCTGCTCCCTGATGAAGTAATGCGCCTTCATGGTCTTCAACTTTCCGTCATTGAAAACCGAACTCAAGAAACCGTCGGTCAAGTCATCCAAATTCTGCCCCACAGCTAACGCATTGTAATTGTTCTCCTTAGCGACGACATAGAGTTTCGCTCTAATGGTTTTCGCGCAAAAACTCGTGCTCGAGCCAGTCTCATCAACTTTGCTGTCTTTGTCGAACGGCACGCTATAGTACGGAATACTTAGTCCGTCTAAATAAGCTTTTACCGGATGATCGTTGTGACTGCCGATACTCGACACGCCAATCTCGAAATCGATACCCTTGGATCTCGCGTAGAATCTGTACTGGTGCAACGTGTGCAAAAGTGCTATGGAACTTTTAGGATTCGGCGCCAAACACAAAAGTACTCGATCGGCATCCTTGACCATGTCGAACTCCTGCATAGCCTCGACGGTTGGTTTCCAAATATTTTTTGGTGGACAGTGCCATTGGCCGCCACACGATTGCTCTTCACCTTCGCTGGAATTTTCGTGCGAAGCCGAGAAAAATATTTCGTCGTCCTCGGACAGATCGTCGTTTGTCGCTCTCGGCTGCTTGCAAAGGCCCAGAGTATTTCTCGGTCGTCTCATGCTGGAATTGGACTCGGTGCTGCTGCTTCTCGCGAGCTCGTCGACCGAGCGGTCGCTGTCATGGAAAGACAAGTTGATTCCGCTATCTTGCGAGCTAACCGAATTCACGGCCGAATAGATTTTGGGCAATGTCTTTTCACGCTCGTCCTCCTCGTCGTCGTCACTCTTATGAGATGGCGCCGATTTTACCACGTAGATGACGGTTTCGTCGGATGAACACTCCGACGATACTTTGCTGTCTTGTTGCAACGCTAATTTGCCGCCTAACAATGGAGTACGTGGACGTGGCGTTTCGTGGAGTAACGTCGTGCGATGAGGTGATGCACAGCCGGATGATGACTTTTCGTCGGGTGAATATCTGGAATGCATAAAAAAATAAGCGTTAGTGATCCCGTTGTTTCTTAGTAAAATGGATTAAGTTAGCTTGGTGAAAGGTTAGTCAATAAGTGTGAGAGGAATAGAGCTTCGTGGTTTGACACACAGAAATACTCAACGACGGGTTATACACCACACGATAAAGTTTTGCATTTTGTCGAAGGAACATGTGCTAACAACTGTTTATCTTTTTGTTTTGTGTTACAACTACGTTCGACTACTTTTCCTTTGACAATTTGTTTGCTTATATCAAGTAGCGAATTCGGAAGGAGTAATCACCAATTTCGTTCGTCGCAGTCAAACTTCATCATGGGTAGGTTTCTTCATCAGTCGCTAGAAACGAAGAGCAAGCATTTGCAAGTTTCGAATCGTTTCGAGGATAAAGAAGAAAAGACATGACGATGCTAGAACTTTCGTATTGCTAATTCATTTTGCACATGTGCACATAAAACTTACGAAGATTCTATTAGGCACTTGTGAAACTGTTTACGTAATGTCATCAACAATAAAAAATAAATAAATAAAATAAAACAATAATTATACTTTGTTCGAGTGAACGATGAGATATGAAGCGATGTACAAAACTAATCGACTTACCTATGCAAACCATCCACGGAGTTGACCATGCACCTAATCTCAGACTTGACCTCGCTGGCCATCTCCTTGGAAAAGCTCATGAGGTAGGAAGCGATGTCGCTCGCCGAGAAAGAATCACCGCTCTGCTGTTTCTCCTGATGTTTAGCGGCATGATGGTTATTGTTGGTCTCGCAGCCGCTGCTTTCCGACAGCGCGTCGTCCACTTTGCTTATGACCTCGCGTATTTCGGATTTGATTTCCGTGGCAAGCTCCTTAGTGACTTCTTTCAGATAGGCGCGCAAATCGTCCTCGGAACTGTGCGTGAGAATCGGCGAGGATCTGCCAAGTCGGTTACCGTTCATCACCGAATCGAAGGAAGACGAGCACGAGCCTGAAACGTTATCGAATTCACGTTACTCCGTAAGAATGACGGACTCGAAAAACCACGACGACACCAACCAGGCGAAGTAGCGGGCACGTGTCCTAGCGACGAAGCCGACCTTCCAGGACTCCCGTTGGCGTCGATATCAAGCGAGCCATTCAGTTCGGTCTGGCTGCTGCAACTGCAGTGTCTGTGCCTCGACGAGTTGGCCGTGGCGATGCCAAGACTCGCCAGCGTCTGTGGACTCAATGGTATAGGCACGGGCGAGCTGACATTGACACCAGAGCCCCTGCGCAACTGGCAACTCGACGAGCTCCCTAACGAGTTGCATCTCGCCCGAGCTATGTACGGACCGTCGACGTTGCATTTATCCACAGCTGTCTTGCTGCCATTCGTTGACGTCGACGTCGTCGTCGTGCTGGATGGTTGATCGCGAGAGACAAGCCGTGACTTCGTTGGACTCGAGCCTGAAGCACAAATTGCAATTATACTCCGTTCGTTAGCTTTGCTCAGTTTCCGCGAATTTACTCGTGATATCAGTTTGTACGCACGCACGCGCGCGATCAAGTGACGATAAACGATCGCGAATGGCAATTATAACGATGACGCGAGGCGCGTTATCGTACAAAGGTAATCGAGTGGAAAAACGGTGGCGGATTTTCGCACCTGAACATCAGATACGCATGACTTACTCGTCAGTGCACGCGTTCAACGTGGCGTGAAGATGTGAAAATGAGCAAGGCGTCTCGCGATGATACTCACCAAGTATACCGACAGCAGCGGTAGTGACGGCCTCTCCAACGGCAAATCTAATGCTAGGCATTGGCGAGCCGGGACACGTAGCAGGACATATCGCGAGGTCCTCGTCGTCGATATCCGTGCTCTTCGAGCTCTGACAACAGCGCGCGCGTCGCAAATCCGTTGGGCAGCTCAGTGCCGGCAGACTGCGATGTCGCGGTGAGCTTGGTGAAACGGGTGCGTTACCCGATCGCGGCACGTCGCTGTTTAGCCTGCGGATGCCGAAGCTGCGATAACAGATAGATCGGTTGCTGAATAATTTGGTGAATCGACTTGGAAGCTTGATGGATTATTTGCAGATCGACTTTACAGATGGAACGAGAACTAGAACTAACCAAGAAGCTTCGAGAAAGGCGAGTTTGTAGGTGGATGGATCGAAGGGCACATTATGCTTGACCTTCTGGGAGTTGCCAAGTAACAAGTCCTGAGCCTCGTGAGGTAGCATAAACCATCTTAGCCTTTCGCTCTTCTCGTCGAAGAACACGCTCCTGTCGATCTGCATGGGACACCTCTGCGCCATCTTTCTCGCCCTGTTAAAGATATTCCTGGCGGTCTGCAGACAATCGCTGTAACTTTGCGGAAAAACGCCAGCGCCAGAAATACGACGCTCCGAGGCGCTCATGCGACCGTCGGTATAACGTATAGCGCCGAGCCAGCGACGGTCCTTGAATACACTATTTGTGTGGTGTCGCCATTCCCCTGTCTCTGGGTTCAACATGTATTGCGGCAGCAATTTCCAGCCCTCTGTCGCTACCATTTTCAAGGCTTCCAATACGAACGCCACTTCCATCTCGGACATGAAGTACGGGAAGGTCAGCCGTGCGAAACCTGGACGCAGAGTTTCGGCGTTCGTCTCGTCCCGAGAATTGTCATTTTGACCACTGAAATTACAGACGGAATGATGAAAATCAGATGCAAAGATACATTCTGCGCTTGCGAATGAGCGAGAAATCCTTTGAAATGCAAAAAAAAAAAGCTGTGCGGTAATCTGGATGCTTCTTATGACGCGAGCACCACCCTCAATCGATAGACTTGGCCAATCACGTGCCACGGCAAAGAAAAAAGAAATTAGCAATTCAAATAAGCTCGCGCAAGCTCGGGAAAATCATCAGTTCCCGCCCTCCTCCTCTCTCTTCCGGAAAAAGAGTACAGCAATTAGTATCGATTTGAATAAATTAGCGACGCTCACGTCATCTAATTTCTTTCGGTCAATCCATGCTGCAATTAAGTTGTCAACTATACCTCTGAAGTAGGAGAGCTTCGTACTCCTTGGCGAGTTTCTCATCAATGCCCATCAAGTCGTGGGCGTATCGACCTGCGCAAGCGCAGCCACCCCGAGCTTGCACCCCGAATACGTCGTTCAGGATGGCGCACACGAAATTGTGATGGAGATAGGTGCCCCGGGGATGACGTACCATGAATGAAAATGTCGGCAGTCTCTTGACATTTTGCGAGCTGCAGCCCAACAGGATCAACTCGGGTATTGTGCGCACATGCGCCAACACTTGTCTGCGGATAAGGCAAATTCGATTGAGTTTAACGAGTGCTTGGATAAATAAGCGAATAAAGTGAGTTCGATTCAATTTTCAGTTGGGCACGCACTTTGAAATCTTGTCCTGCTTGTTAGCGATCGTTGGTGGCGTCACGTTCTCTTTGAGCTGAACAGCAAGGCCACATCTGATGGCTTCCACGACACCGCCAGTGCCACTCTCGTCTCTCAGTTCTGGATCACGAAGATAACGATGCGAGTCGCGCATATCCTCCGGGCTTATATCTTCGCCGAGCAGTGAGCGTTTGGCAACTAAGACACCGGGCGACTGTGCGCCACCGATGAATTTGTGCCCCGCAAAGATCATTGCATCTTTGTGCACTGTCGTCTCGCCTACTCCTGGTAGATTTGGATTCATCTCCATTCTCACGTACGGTGCTTTCGATTAAAAAAAAAAAATATTGATTTATTCGAACTTTGGACTGGCTGTTGTTTTGCAAGTCATGATCAAGAATGATCTCATATCGCAGCCGCGTCGATTCGAAAAAAAAAAAGAATTGTAAAATGTAAACAGACACGTCAAATAGAACAAATTAATAGTTCTACTGAGCATTGACTATTGTCTCAGCTGCGACTAGTACGTCATCTATGGAATGTGTCTTTCAATAAGTTACCGAGCTCGCGCGATCATTGGGTCTCTCGTTCGATTCGACGATCATTCTGTCGGGCGTGCGATTGCGCAACGACAGAAGAAAGAAAAAAACTATGCTTGATGTATTCATCGGAGAATTTATTTGACTTTCGATAACAAAATCAGGGGTAAAAAACGGATGCATCCATACCTGCCGATGTATAATCCCAGATGCTGAGAGCGCCGTGTTGTCTGAGTAACAAGGTCGTGGCAACGTCATCAGCGAGAACTCCAGTTATGCAACTGGCCGCGCTGAAATATCCGATCAGCCTGGCTGAAGGATTCTCCGTTCTCTCCTTCACTATCTTCCTCTCGAGGTCGTTCAAATCCAGAAATCCCTCGCGCGTTTCGTCCACCCTTACCAGCTGTGGTAAACAATCGTACGTCAGCTCTGCGCCCTTTCCACGGCTACAACGTCGCTTTGCAACTGAACTCACCCTAACTCCGTGCTCGCGCCACGGCTTGAGATTCGCGTGGTGCTCGAATGGGCCGACAAACACAGTCGTCGGACTGGCTAGATCCAAGTGCTTGAGTAAGCTCCGTAGTGCTCCAGCAGTGCCTTGGCCAGTGAACAAAACTGCGTCTTGATCGCCAGCTCCGACCGCGTGGCGAACGATGTCTCGTGCTTCGTGCCTGCGTGGGTGAATGATCAATGGAGCGCGTAAGTTTCTTTGATGCGATTGATTTTCTTTGGGAAGACTCTCAAGCGAAGCTCATTCAAGGCACGCCTACACTAGCGTGAATTGAATTATGATAAACTTGTACGTAACAGTGCTTCTCTTTTATGCTGTGGTTTATTCGGGAATAACGAGGCCTTACGCACACATGCGTAAACACACACGCACACACGTAGGTACACGCTTTTATCCGCAAGTGGTACATAAGATAATGTCGTAATAATGTTTGTAGAGCGTAATGTCAATGAGCTCCATGTCTGAGCAAAGCACTTTTCTATTTTGTATGCTCGAGTTGTATTCTAACAGTTATCCTAATGCGGGGCGAACTTGTATTTTTTATTATTTATCACTTTAATTCAACTGAGTAATTAGTATTGATCGCGCGTATAATTGATTAACGCGCAATTATATTTTCAATCGCATGAATAATGAAACTAGCGACACGTCGAAACGATCCGCATTTTTAATTATTAAAGTTGAGAGCCGCGCTCGTCTATTTAAAATTCGGAGTGGGCATGCCCGGACACACGTGTCGTTAGACAAAGAACTCAAGGGGGAAAAAAACGGAGCAGGCATCGATCGATTGCCGATAATTAAAGAGCATAAAAATCCCAGTCCATAAGTTAAACTACGGCCGACTGCGATGACATCTATACATCTGACACACCTTTAAATAATTCTCGTCCGCGCGTATAAACGTCGCGGCCTCAAAAATCGATGCTGCAAGCGCACACGTACAGGAAACTCGAGACATTCGGCAGAAATCTACACAAAGAACTAGTGCCCTCATAAAGGGACGTTTGTTCTTTGTTGGGAGATTGTATTTTTTTTCTATATTTTTTTCTCTGCGCTTCGTTCTTTTCTTTTTAGCGCGGTCAATTGCGCGCAACTGGGCCAATGAACCATCGAGAGCGACGAAAGAAGAAAAGAAGTATGTTACCTGAAGAGCGAAGACTGAAGGCTGCATATCGTGGTGGAGGCTTTGGTGTCGCCGAGGTACGGCAATACTTCCTTGATGATGTATTCTTCGAGGAATTGCAATGACCGACCAGTAGCCGTGTAATCGCAGTAAACAACTGCAAAGCAAAACAAAGGCTTACAGTGTTGCATTGGTCGCGCGAAGAAGGCGACGAAGCCCACAAGAAGCGCTCGTCGAGAATCTATTCGCGTCGCTCGCGCGACGACTTCCGGCAGCAGGCTTGCAGCCGTACAGCCGTACGTATGCCTCGGACTTGGCTATTTTCGTGACTCTAAAAGGGCTGCTCCTTTCGCTGATGTCATTGTGTGTGCGTGCGTGTGTTTATGCAAGCTTCGCGAGCTCCGCCGAGCTTCTTACTCAATGACGACGAAGGGGCGAATTAGCTCGGCGGGGAGGCGGCTTCGCGTCAAAACCGAAAATAACTTTGACGACAAGTGAAAAATTTGCAGTCGCGTGCGACTGGGTCATAGCCAACACTCATAAACAGTTGATCTTTATCCGCTGCTTGTAATTTTGTGCTCCGCTTCAAAGTCTGCAGCGCGTTGCTCTGCCAAGGCAATTTTCCGGGTGCGTTTTTATCTCGACTTCGCTCTCCCTGCTCACTGCGAGAGTGCATGCACGCACGAGCCGCGTGCGGCCGGGCGCTGGTAATAATAAAGTCGCGCGCGCGCGCGTTTCGCGTCGGCGTGTTAATTTCTGTCGCGACTTCAAAGAGAGAAAACCTTCGCGCCTCTTCTCAGTGTCACGAATGTTGTACACGCGAAAGGGGCGTAAAATCGCGATCTCATCCGTGCGCTCGCTTTCAAAACGACTTTTATCCCGGCTGAAATTCAGCGTTCGTTCGCACGAATGTTTGTACAATCGCCTCCAATTTACGGCGAAGGCCTCAATGCTATTTTTGCGAACGCGCGAAATTTTGAAAATGCCAGTTTGTGATATAACTTTGCTCGCTCCCGAGCGCCAGCCAGCAGCAATGAAAATCTGTCTGCGTCAAGTTAGCCATTCCGACAGCGATGAATAGTGTTATTTTTGCTCATCTACGTCTCACGGATAATTATCATTCCGCTAAACGGTCCGTTTGTCCATCCGTTATACGGGTTTGTATTATCAACGATTGCCCCTAACGAAAATCAATCAATCAACGTCTAAAACAAAAATGGAAAAAGCAGAGAACCACAAAAGTCATTCGTGAACATTCTCGCTCGCCTCGTCAGACTTATCTAAATATAAGCTTTTGGATCTCGCGCGTACAAAAACCAATCACCAACGAGCAATTAACTAAAAAGAATGCGCGTTGTCGGCGAGAAAGATGACGATGATGATGCTTTTTGTTCCTTGGCATTTGGCCTAACGCGATAATGACCGTAACGCGCGCGCGCGCGTGTGCGTATATGCAGGTGTTCTTCGGCTTGCGAAATATTGCTGCGCGGCTACGACCGTTTCCCTTTTCTTTTCCAACGCGAGGCCAAACTCTTCAAACTGCATCGGGTATAATCGCGAACTCGCGATTTTCAAACACATATCTATCTCTCAGTTTTCGCGCGCTTTTGCAATAATAATAGTTCTGAACTCGATTTCTCTCTCTTTCTCGCTCTCTCTCTCTCTCTCTTTCTTCATCGATTTTATTCGCTGATTGCTAGGCTCTGAGCGTATAATCATAGACTGTTGTTTAAATTTCAATCTTTGTTTCGAAAGTAACTTTTCAACTTGTAAGGATAACGCACACGGCAAACAAAAGCTACTTCAATTTGTCTGCCAAGGATTTTTTGTTGTCTTTTTCCTCCGTGACGCAACCTAACTAGTAGAATAAACGAGCTGGTTTTGCTTTTCATCTCTTTTACGCGCGACTGCTGCAAATTGATGTCTCGACGACGGTTTAAACAATGGGAAAAGCGCGCGTCTTCGTAATGTTGTGTCCCGGGATAGACTGATTTTTCAAAAGCCCTCGAAACCTAAAAGGAAGCCAACCGACGAATTAAAAAGCCTCGTGGCCGCGCATTCCAAATGGATACAAGTCCCGTTGTGACGGGACTTGTTTCTCAAACAAGACATCCGATCGTCATCTCGTGCGGCGCGCACGTGACAAAAGATTCACGTGCGCGCGGACCAGAAGCCTCGCGAAAGAAAAGCGCCATAGGGAAGCGATAAATCAGCCTTGCGCAATAGGATCTGGAGCAGTAGACGAAGTGTCCTACGTCGTTAAAAGGAGATCGGGCAACGGTGCAGAAGCCCAGTAGCCTGCTGATCGCTTGACCCTAACCGGTTCACTCCGCGCGCACCAAACGTATCCCGAACGATTAACCGTTCGTCGTTATCATCGCTCTCGTTCTTTTTTGTCCCGTGCTCTTCTTTGCCGCGCGCGACGGACGCACGCGCGTCGTGAATCATGCGCGTTCGCTTTATCCTTCGCCGAGGAAAAAACACACGAGCAGAGACAACGCGCGCTCGTCGCACAATTGACGAACGCCGAGTCAAGGCCAGCTCTGTGTGAACGCGCATCGGCTTCAATTATACACTTATAGGTCCGAGTGCATATTTTTTATTTCTTTCTCGTTCAATCTAGCTGCGCGCGCGAAAGTCAAAGGCGAGCGAGACGAGAAGCGCTCGGCCGCGTGAGAAATCTAAATGCGTAAGTGCGTAATTCGGAGATGGCCTTAGAACCGAACAAAGGGCCGTAAAAGTGCGCAGAAGACAGGGCTTACCCGCGCGCGCGCGCGCGCGAGGGGAAGAAGAGAGAGAGCGAGAGAGAGCGACCCTTCGGCGTTCTCGCTGGGTTTTTACGTGCGTCGCACGCGGCGCTTGGGGAAGTTAAATTTGGAAGAATCTGTCGACTGACCTATATGCAGGCACGCCTCGTGCTTCGTTATCGTCGTGTCCTTTCAACGACGAAAACGAGAATGCAGTGGCATTTCTTTTCGTTCCCCTGTTTCTTGCGCGGAAACGCAGTGACTGCGCTGAGCACACGTACAGCGTCGCGGGTGCAGATAAACAACTTGAACTGATAAGCGCGAAGCACAATGAGAAATTTTCCAACGTTCTCGTGTGCAATTACAAGTGCCTCTCGTGCAGTTGCCTATTTGGATTGTACTCGTTACTGCGGGGAGCCGCACGACAGTCGCACTTCAATAAAACAACGACGAACGACGCGACTAGCCGATAAAAAGACGGGAGGGAAAGTTTTCCTCGCAACGCCTACTTGATCGCGAGCGCGAGGCCGTAAATGTATAAGGATCGGCCAGTGTTCTCGGCGCTTTCGGGAGGATGACGCAGGCGAACGGCTACGCGCGCACACGTGTCCAGCAAAAGAGCTAGAGAGCAGCTTCCGATATAATAGCGCCGAGAGGAGAGCGGACGGATTGCGCAAGCGCGGAGCCAGTTATACGGCCAATGTCAAGGCCGCGCACGCCCTCCTCCTTTCGGCATCCTTGAGACTCGCCTCGCGCTCGCTACTACGCGGACGCGGCTCGTCATTACGGGGTAGAGAGAGAATTCGAGAGCGACAGGCGCATATCGTCCGATGGAAAAGCTCATTGCCTCTCGGGCGTGAGAGCCGACGCGATAAAGAGAAACGCGAGAGCTTCGACAGGAAGAAGTCATCTGTAAACACTCGTGATGTCGAGATCGCGCGCGCGCGCGTTTTAATTTTCTCTAGCTGCATTTTTCTGCGCACTTCGGCTGCCTCGCGTGCGTTGAGTTACACGCTCGCTGCGCTCGTGACACGTCGCAGCTCCGTTACGATTATTATATTTCTTTTATTTCGTTCTCTCGGCCTCGATCGCCGCATTTTCTCGGCGTCGCTGCGACGCAACGATCGCGTCCCGCGAGTCGCGCGAAACGATCGCCGCGGCGACGGCGAGAACTCCGCGCCATCTCGCAGCCCGACACGTGCATCGGGACAAAAGTATGGCTCTCTTTTATTCCACTCCCTCCCCTCGGCTCGCCGGCTAGCTCGCTCGCAGACCAACCGGTTTTCAGTCGAAGCCGGCCGGCATGCGACGACGACGACGACGACGACGACGACGACGATGCGGTTACGTAAGCGCGCCGCGCGCTCCATTTTATCGTTCTGAAAAATCGTGTCTACGCATACGCGCGACCTTCGCTGGAGTATACGCTGCGCACACTTGTTTTTCGAAGGCTCGCTCGCTCGGCTGCTCGCGCATCGCGAGATTAGATAGTGCGCGCAATATTGTGTTGTGGTGCCAGCGCGTCTGCCGCGAAAAATTTCTTTATTCCTTGCGTCAACGATACATATATATAAGCGCATCGGCTAACGAGAAGCAGCTTCCAGGTTTCCTTCTCCCGACGCTTCATCGATTTTCCGAGCGAGCGCGGCTCTCGTTTCGTTGGCGAGCTTTTTACGGCTCTTCGCGGAAAGCCTGTCACTCCCTTCCGAGATGACACGACAGAAAGAAAGCCAGCAGGCGGTAGATGATAACATCTAGGTGTGCGAACGTTGCACGGTTATAAATAACGATCGAGAGATGTTTCACTCGAAGCTTCACTCATCAAATCGGAGCGTGGCCTAATGCTTTATCGATCTGTTTTTGACTCTTTCTCTCCCGCTAGCTCCCCTTTCTTCCCTCCCATCGTGTAGCTCCAGCGTTCCCTAAAATTTTTCACCTGATCCACGGCCAAACAGCTGCTGGTTATGACGCAACCAAACGCCGAAAAGGAGCGCGTTTCCATTTGATTTTTTTTCTGAAATCGCTAGAACTTGTGTGCGCAACGTGGAAGCCTTGAGACATACACGCGCAGCACTCGAGGGAAAAGAAGCAGAAAAATCAAATACGAGGGCAACGACAGTGCCGGTGACTCACCGTACGCGGTCGTGCAACGTCAGGTAGCATCAACGCGGTAACATCGCGCGCGCCGTTTAGTCAACTTTTCGTGCGATCGACGACGCGCAAATCGAATACCGAAATCGACAATGTTTGCTGCGGATTTGAGCAGCCGCGCGCACGCCCCTCTCCCATCTGCAACGCCGAGTGTAATTCGAGAGCCTTTGGCTTCTTCTCTGCTATCAACTTTTGAAACACGTATTATAATTATCTCGAGCTTGCTCAGCCCACTGGCCCACATATCCAATTTGCCAAA